TTAAGTTAAGTAAGTTAAAGTTAAGTAAGTTAAGTAAGTAAGTAAGTAAGTAGTAGTAGAGGAGAGAGAGAGAGAGAGAGAGAGAGAGAGAGAGAGAGAGAGAGAGAGAGAGAGAGGAGAATTCATTGTTAGGGCTCTTACCGAGTGGAGTTTTAAGAACAAACAAGCATGCGCCTATGACTAAGTAGGAGAGCAGGAGAATGAATCCCTTCATATAGTGAGAATCTCCGGTCTGAAAGAAAAGAGAGAAAAACAATTCACTTTATGGGTCATGAAAAAACAAACCAGAAACTGAGATTGAAGAACAAGGCAATAAAATTTGAGGAGAGAGAGTGTGGTGGCATGCCTGCAACATGAAAGCAGCAAGAACTACTGATATGAAGAGAGAGACAGTCTCAAGGATTCCAAAGTCAAGATCCATGCCCTTCCCCATCATCCAAGCCACCACAACTGTTAATGGAACCTGCACCAAAATATCATCAAATTCACAACAAACCCACCTCAATGTTTTTGGACTGTCTCTCTCTCTAGATGAGCATAGGAGAGGATTCATACCACAAACATGGATATCTGAGATGCAGAACCCATGGCAACACCTAGAGTGATATCCTGCAAGTAAATTTGAGGAAAAAATTAAATGGATACTGTTTGTTTGATGATGGATACACTTGTAAATTCATGGCTCATCCACCCCCATTTCCTGAATTTATTCTTCTCTCTCTTGTTTGATGATGGATGCACCCTCTTAAATTCCTCTCTTTCTCTATCTCTTCCAAACACACTCTCTCTCTAGGAGTTCAGCAGAGGCTAACCAGTTTGTTCTTGACAGCGAAGATGATTGCACCGGCATGCTCGGCCGCATTCCCGACTATGGGTAGAAGGATTACGCTTATAAAGCTCACAGAGATATCCCATGAGTTCGCTGCGGACTAGTTACATGAAAACAATCCATTAGCTGTGTACAAACTTCGGTAGAGAGAGAATTCATGTTTTGTAGAGAGAGAGAGAGAGGATTTGTTGGAGGAGAGATGGTGGCGTACCTCAATGGTTTTAACCACATACTCAGAAAGGAGAGCGATAGTAGCAGTCATCACCACCAGCCAAGCGACCCCGCTCTGCCACCCGATAACCGCCTCTTCAACCTGTGAATCCTCTTCGTCTCCGTCGTCGTCCTGATAAAAAATCCAACACTTTCTTTCTTAAAGTTCAAAAATGAAAACTAAGACATCGGTTCCTTTCCTTGAATTTGAAAGAATTAGCCCTGAACCTTGTATCTTTAGTTTGCAAGAATCAGGAATGAAACACAGAGAATTTTCTGTGTTTCTCTCACCTCTTGAGGCTCGAACAATTGGCGATGGGTCTTTAGCTGGAAGAAGAGATAAGCACCGTAGGAGATGAGCATTATGATACTGCTCGCCCGCGAGAGATCGAGGGCTGGATGCCCCAAGCTCGAAGGATCCGCGTATTTGAAGAGCAGTGGGAGAATGAGGCACATCGTTCCCAATATGAGCAGACCCGAATTCGCATCGGCCTGAGTCTGAAAGAGAACCATCAAATCAGAACAGAGTATCAGAGAGAAAACCCACCAACAAAATCCCCCTCTCTCTCTAGAATCTCGAAACAGAATACTTACTCTGTCATATCTTTGTTCCTTCCTGAGGTTCACCAGACCACCACAAAAGAGAGAGGTGCCCAAGACCAGGAGGAGATTAGAGAGAACAGAGCCCAAGAGGGAGCACTTTACCACCACTATTTTATCACTTGCAAGGGCAAAGAAGGCAATTATAAGCTCTGTTGCATTTCCACAGGTTGCATTGAGAAGCCCACCCACTGTAATTTCCATGGCCAAATTGAAAGAACCAGGTGAGCATGCGATGCAGATCAAAATCAAATGGATTCAGCATTTTTCATTCGTTCTTCTCAAATTTTTGAGACTTAAATTATTTTTTTATTTTATTATGAATATATTTTTTTAGTTTTTATTAAGGTTATTTTTTTTTTTAATTATTGCATCGGGTTAGGGTTAAATTTTGTTTTTTTTTCAAAATAAAGCTTTTCTAAAGCTTAGCCCAAAATAAGGGTATGTTTTATTTTTGTTGGAGGAAAACTCAATTTTGTTCCTCAAGCTTGTCTTTAAAGATAGTAAGGTAACTTATCTTTTAACTTTCAAGTGATTTAGACACGAACATTAAAATTTTAGGTAAAATACAAAATGCTCTGTTCAAAAATTACAAAATTAAATCTCTATCAATTTAAATTGTGATTATTATTTTTAGTTTCTTTTATTTTGTTATAGGACAGCGGCCCAAGCTTCAAGGCACTGCACTACTAAAGAAAAGTAAAAAAATTAAAAAAACAAAATTCAAGGTGACCGATGAGTAATATTGAAAAAAAAAAAAAAAATACAGTTCTTTTCCACGTATAAATAGAGCATTTCATATTTTATCTAAAATTTTAAAGTTTGCATATAAGGAGGAGAGCAATGCTTATAAGAAAATAAGGTTATCTTTAGTTTTTTAGGAAGTACATTTTGTTTTTTATTTTAAATTAATTACATTTTTTTTATTTGAGTAATTCAGTAGGAAAGATACGTCCCTACCCGTTTTTTTTCTTCAAATAGATTATAAATTAGCTTTTTTAAAAAATATTAATAGGATGGTGTTAATAGTGGGAACAAAACCACCCGTTTTTTTTCTTCAAATAGAGTATGAGTTAGCTTTTTCTAAAAAAAAAAGAAAAAAAGCACGACTGATACCAACCGTTATTGGTAATTACTAAATCTTGAAGTAGTTATTGACTCAACAGATATATACTCATATACTGATACATAAATACTAACAAAATATCCATACGCCAACATTGGGTACCTGTTGGGCCTGTGAAGAATGCAATCTGCCTGTGTAGAGAAACACAAAATCAGTTTAGTCATGAACTCGTGGTTTTGGATTGAAATGCTCTCTCTCTCTCTCTCTCTCTTTATTGAAATACTCTCTCTCTCTCTAGGCAGATTACATACTCTGTAAGGAAGCTGACTCGTTCAGCGAGAGGTATGAGGCCCAGTAAGCTCAGGATAAAGACCCATCCCTGAAAGATTTTTCAATAAAACCAATAAGATTCCAAACTACACCAGAGGAAGACCGAAAACATGAAGTCTAGAGAGAGAAGGGGTTCTCGCGACAGGTAAAAGAAAACAAAAAGTAAGATTTTCTTGACGAAAATGTATACAAAATGAGACATCAGGTTCTTGTGGAGAATAAAGAATAAAAAAATAAAAAAAAAACTATATATATATATATATATATAAAGTTTGTTGGTTTATGGCTTTTAAAGGCTTGTAATTAAAATCTTGATATAATGGAGTATAAATTCGCTCATAAATTTAAACTCAGTATGTTGCCAACTTTGTGAAGATTCTATTAAGAGAGAGAACAAAAAGCAAAAGGCATGGTTTTTCTTTTGATGGGTGGGAAAGTAGAGAGAGAGAGACATGGTTTTTCTTTTGATAGGTGGGAAAGTAGAGAGAGAAAGAAAAGGTTTGCTTTCCATTGGGGAGTTGACATCACTCACATGGCCGAAATTGCAGTACTCAGCAACAATGGCAACGGGGACTGAAACAAAGAGAAATGCGAGCTTAGTCCCGAGGATCACTTCCTGCAAATTCGCCAAAATCTTTCTCAAAACCCCAATCTGAACACTCTGAAGCAGAGTGACGTCCGATTTCTTTCTGAGAGAAGAAGAAGACATGTTATGAGCCGTTCTCCCATGCCTTATCTCCCTGCTCAATCCCTTCAAGTTCCCTCCATTCTCCACATCAATGATGCTCTTTGAAGCCATTGAACTCCCCCCACTTTCTCTCTCTACAATGGAAGTAGAAGGCCGTACTTATAAATCTCTAATGAATTATCAGATTTAATTAGGAGGATGAGGATGAGGTGGGGTGTTATATAGAGATAGAGAGGCAGAGTCCTTTTATGGCAAATGGGCAGGAGTGAGGTATGCGTTGTTGTCATGACGCAGGTTGCATCTTCCTCGAAGCTTCGTTGAGAGAGAAAATAAGCTTCAGTTTTGGCCAAAGATGCAGCAATCCACGTGCTTACGACAAAGATAGAAGAGAGAGAGAGAGGCTTCAGAGCGAGGCTCTGTTTGTCATGACAAAATAGCATACAGTTAAGAGAGAGAATCAGAGCAATAATCGTTTCGATTTTTTTATACAGAGAGAGAGAGAGTTCGAATCACTAATACTATTTCTGCACAATCAAAACACCAAATTTTACTGCAAATACACAGAGAGAGAGAGAGAGAGAGATGTTTGTTTAGAGAGAAAGACGTTTTAGTTTGTTTGGGGTGGCTGGTGAAGGACAGTTTAAAAATTTTTGGGGCATTTGGATTTTGCAGGAAAACAATGGCAGCACAACGCGTCATGGGCATGGCAACTATAAAAATTCTAAAATTATTGGGCTTTTTTTAGCTACCCACACCAGTCCCTTGATATTCTTCAATAATATTTTCTCTCTCTTGTCAAAATAAAAAAAATTTCTCTCTCTCTCTCTCTCTCTAACCCTGCTCACATATAATATCTTCTAATTATTGAGGCCTTTCTCTTAATATATTTCTATCCCAATATCTCTTCAAATTGACACTTCTATTATTACCCACATATTTGATGTCTTATCAATGTTATCATCATGGACAATGTATTTAAACTAGAGAAATTTATTTTTATATCTCATTTAAAATTATAATTATACAAATATCTTTAATTTTTATATATTACATGTATGTCTCTTTCTGAAAGGACTTGTGTGATCTAACATGAATATATATATATATTGTAGCACTTTACTTTTTATTAAGGACCACGGTCTGAACTTGTTTTTTCAAACCAACCCAATGTTGCCTATGATGCACAGTCTATGCAAGGGATTATTAGTGGGTCATTAAAGTCTAGCCAATGGGCAATGAGTCGTAATCTCAGTTTGTGGATTTCAGGTTCTCCCCTAGATACATACTAAGGTTACCTAAACTTGATACAATCCATTGCTCTATGGTGCATAAGAGTTATCTCTCACATATGCACAAACCTCACTCTGAAAGGTAGTTCAGTATTCTGAAAACGATTATCCTTGTGCATACCGTGTAATGGTATGCAAATGTGACTTTGGCTCCATCTCTGAAGGCCTTCATCACACAAGGGCCGCACAGTCTCTCGGCTCACTTTTTCAGACATACTTTGACTTCATCAAGGGATTACCCATCATAACCCTTTATCGGTTTATTTTATCTACCCAAGTAACATGAGTTTTTCCCAAGCAGACTGGCCTAGCTCGTAAAGCTCAGTCTGGTATCTGTAAATATCTTTTGCTTAGCATGATCAACACAGGATCACACTCCAACTAAGTTCATGTTTTATTATATAAATTCATTTAAAAGCACTCATGAAGCATTTGATGGCCACACACACCCAACACTTTTGTCTCTCGTTTTTAATTTTAAGTTTATCTTTGACTCTGGCGATTGAATATCCAAAGTCACCGATGACTTCGGATTTTCAATATCTGTAGTTGTATTTTATTAAATTTATTTTTTAGAAGAAAACCTGAAATCACTTCAGATGTTGAAAATACGGTCCTCTTGACTTCTGATTTTTCGCATCCAAAATAGATATACGTGTAATATACAAAAATTTGGGAGATTTCCATAATCATAATTTTTAAATGAGATAATCTGGTAATTTTCTCTTCAAATTAACTTTAGTTTTATCACTATCCCATAAAAAAACATAGAGAGAAAAATAAGATTTCTGTCACTATCCCATGGAAAATCTCGTCAACATAGGCATTTTTTTTTCCTTTCTTCTTTGTTGTTTAGTTAGAATCATGGTTAAAAGGAGCGGTACGGTTATCTCCATGAGGAAGAGTTTCTCTATTAATATAATTCCAGACTTTCTTAAGATGCTTTGTCAAAAATATAATAGTTTTTATTGTTTTTGGCTTTGGTAAAGGAGAAATATCTATTGAGGGCCCAAGATTATAGAGCAGTGAAATGAATAAAAATGGGTGATATAATGATAAAACATGATAGATATATTTTATTTTATATTTCATTGCATGTATTTATTTATTAAAAACTTAACGAATCTAAAACATGTATGTAAAATTTGGGATCCATCACACAACACTAAGGTCCCTCCCTTCCATTTGTTGTCCTTATCTAAGGGGTTTCGCGGCATAATTTTTCTCATTAGAATGTTCAAATTACAATGATTACATGCCCATGTGAGATTTGACATATGTCATTTTTTTAATATAATATTATATATACAGTGAATTCTTTTTCTATATGCCTAAGATTTTTTTTGAACTTTAAAGTTTAGAACTTACTCTAAAATTCTCGATGTTAATCTCTACTTTTTTTCTTTTTTTTTTTTTGGATAATCCAGTAGAGATAACATACCTCTACATGTGTTTTCTATAAATTAGGGAGTTAACTTTTCTAAAGCTTTCATGGGTGGTATCAATAAGATTGAAAACCACAATGTGGTAACTAGGTATCGGGTTGCCACTGTCACGACCCAACTCCTTTCCTATCTCTAGCTTTTTACTATTTTATCATTTTTTTTATATGAAAAGCTTTTTATATTCTCCCTACAACATAGAAGTTCTATCTCTCTCTTATCCAACCGTCAATTTTTTAATGGAGGGCTAAGATTGCTCCAATCACAATGTCATGTCTTTACACTATTTTATTTTTAATTTTTTTTTTATAAACTATTTTGATACCAAATTTTGGATGTCCATTCTTTTATTAAACTCTCACTAACGAAAAACATATAAAAAATATTTTCAATAAAATAAAATCACCAAAAGACATCTGGAAATTTTAATGGGTATTTTGGTCATTATAATTTATAAAAAATTATTGTTAATATTTTTTATAGGTACGCCCCAATGATAAGATGGCACATACCAAATTTTATATTCAAAATATTTGTATTAAAACAACTAAAAATAAAATATTTTAAGAATTCGAATCTAAGATCAAATGGTGAGTAACTCTTTTGATAAAAAATGGACGGCTGGATGGTAGGAGGAGGATAGAACTACTATGGTGTAGAGGGAACATATAAAGCTTTTCTTTCTTTTTAAACTCTAAATAAATTTAACTTACGGCTAAAATAATACTTTCAATCAAATCAACTTTCTTTTTAAGTGTCCCCCTAATGGCAAGGGCCTGTTTAAGGTGTCAACTCCTTACACTATTAAAGTAAGGCGCACTACAAAGCTACGCCAAAAGATGCAGTTTTGGTGTTGAAAAGTCTTGCAATGGTATGAAAATCTATTGCCATCCATAAAATGAGATTTAAACTTCCAAAAATCATGTAAATATACAAATACTTCAAAAAATTTAAAATTGACCTATCCAAATATTGTGTTATTAGATGCACTATTTTCATTACTTGAAATCTTTTTTATATATATGTACATCTCAATGTTGAGATGATCAATTTGAGTGTTTCAACATTGAAACAACCTTTTTCGATGGGTTTTTGATGTACGGCCTTATATCAATAATATAAAGTTGACGCTTTATATAAATTTTTCTCCCGCTAATTCACCTAATCCCCCACCCTCTCTCTCTCTCTCTCTCTCTCTCTCTCTCTCTCTCTCTCCAATCAAGTTAGCCAGGAGTTCCTGTATTATATCAAAGGGATTGTATACAATGAGGCCATTTAACTTTTTATACAAAGTGGTCACAATTATTTACAACCATCTAATGTGAAGTTTGATTGTTTGGATATGTCACAAAGTTCAAAAAAAAAAAAATTTGAAGCTTGAACTTGGTCAATGGAATAATTTCAGCCACCCAATTTCATATCGATTTATTTTGAAGCTTAAGCTTGGTCAATGGAATAATTTCAGCCACCTAATTTTAAATCCAATGGTCAAGATTAATGTTTCACCTTGTACCAAAGGTAAATGGTCTCATTATATACTTTCCCTATAGCAAAACAACAACACACTCCCTCTCCAATCAAGTTAGCTAGGAGTTCCTATATTTTATCAAAACAACAACACTTATCTCAAAAAAAAGGTCAATATTAGAAATCAATAAAAATAACAAATTTAATAAATAAAATTAAACATATGAAAGAAATAAAAATAAATTGCTTAGAAATGGTTAAAATAGTTCTACCAAAAAAACCGACATAAGAATGAGATTGAAATGTTGAAATGTCAAGTACTTTTCATCTAATTAAGCACGTACCATTTTGTTAGTTGCTATAGAAACAATGTGGAAGTTAGGAATGAACATACACAAATGAAAATAAAATGTAGCTTACAATGGGTAGATCATATATTAAGCGTTCAAAAAACAACATATAAATAAGATGAGTATAACTAAGATGACGATGTTGAGATGGATGAGTGACGAGACAATAAAGAATAGAATTTGACATGAATACAAACAAAAGATTTTAGGTATGGCTTCAATAGGTGAAAAGATGAGGAAAGGTAGACTTAGTTGGGGTAGTCATGTGTAGCGTAGACCTAATATAGCACAAGTTAGGCGGTGCGATTTGATTCAAATATAATGCTTTAAAAAGACAAAGGGAATGTCTAAAAAGACATAAATAGACGTAGTGAGAAAAGATATAGTGACTTTTGTTCTTACTGAGTGGACGACCATTAATAGAGAAAATTGAATGAACAAAATTTACGAAGCCGACGCCAAATAATTAAAACAAAATTTGGATGACGATGATGAATGGGTAGAGCATATGCATGTTGATATTGACATATTTTTATCATAATAGGCATTATAATTCACGTATCTATTCTACATATATTAATCCACATTTACTAAAGTGGTCCATATCGATGAGAAACCTTTGGGGAGGATAGCTGCTAAGGAGTTTTGAAAGCATAACCTACTTCTTAATCCAATTCAATCT